GGCAACAAAATATAGAAAGATGATAGAACATGATCGGTGACCGATGTAGACCCTAAGATAGGTTTCAGATAAGCAATAAAAGCAGTTGAGAGAAAAAGTACAACCACTACCAGGTGTGGGAGGCAAGTGGAATAGGCTTTTGACCGTCCTTCTGTGGATGGAATCTTTCTGACAGTGGAGAAGATGTATATGTATGAGATTATGATGCAGATAAAGCAACATAAGTCCAAGACTGCATTAATAAGAATGAGCACGATTTCTGCAGTTACATTCTCTGAGCAAGTAATAGCTAACAACTGGGGAATGTCACAAAAGAATTGCTGGATTTCATTGGGCCCACAGTAAGTTAGGGAAAAGGTTCCTGCTGTATGTATAATGGATATCAAGCCACTGCTGAGCCAGGACAGAGTCACCATATGCACACACAGGCCCCTGTTCATGATGAGCTCATAGTGCAGAGGATGGCAGATGGCAGTATAGCGGTCAATGGACATCGCTGTGAGCAGGAACAGCTCTGCCACTGCGGCAAAAGGCACCAGGAAGACCTGCATGACACAGCCAGAGAATGAGATGGAATTGATGTGGGTCAAGGAGTTGGCAACAGTTTTGGGCACAGTGGAAGACATGAGGCAAACATCAGAAAGGGACAGATTCTTTAAGAAGAAGTACATGGGTGTGCACAGGCAGGGATCCAAGGATGCTATGGTGACAATGAGGCCATTCCCCACTAGGGCCAACAGGTAGATCACTACAAAGATCCCAGATTGTAAAAACTGAAGCCTCGATGGGCCAGAAAAACCCAAGAGAAGAAATTCTGCCACCACTGAGATATTCTTCATTCTTGATGAAACGTTCTGCATTTAAAAAAAGAAAAGGTATGGTTAAAGTGGTCAAAATCCTACACCTACTTAAGTTTACTTCAGTACAGCTAAAGAAAAACTGTGTTCCTATTTAATGTTTGTCACTTGAATGTGTGTGTCCATGTGTATTTGTGTTTGTCTGAAAGAGAAAGTGAGAAACAGTTTTAAGAGTATATTTTCTCCAACAACATAATCCAATTAATTAGTCATGTGTTGAACATGTACCTTTCTTTTCAAAGTTTCTGTTTCTCTAGGTGTCTAAGTGTTATAATGCAATGGAAGCATATGTACAAATTGTTTACCATATTCACTGCACCATGCTATCTATCCCTCATGGAGAAAAGTCTTAATTTACATGTGAAAGGAAGTGAAGGGATAGATATGAAAAATGCAAACATTGCATGCCATGTCCTTTATCCTTGTGCTTTACAATTTTTGACTTTTAGTCAATGGATTATTTGACTAAAATTAATTGTTCTCATTTTCATCTTAAATATGAACTTCACAAAACAATGGGCATTCTCTAAGGTCATTTTATACATTTTTGATATCTATATGCCTAGAAAGATGATAGAAAGATTGGCTCCCTCCAAAAGACCTCTGATTTTTTAAATAACAGGAGTAAACAATAGCAATCATTTCAAGCAGGTATTTGTCATTTTCTTCAGTGCACAAGTTTTATTAAAATACTCCTTCACTTAACTCTCATAATACTATTAATGTATCTTTTTATTTACTAGTTTTGGTCCAGGCTTATTTTTATTTTATTATTCCATTAATGCTATGTGTTCTCTCCCTCTACTCTTCTCTCTGCACATACATAAATAAACACACATACACACAAGTTTTAGGCACTGTATGTGTGTGTGTGTCCTGTTTTATACTTTGAGTAATATACATAAATAATAAATACATAAATAAATAATGATTGCAATTGGATATTTGAAACACAATATATCTGCTCTCATCCTTTACTAGAAGAAAACCACTTAAAACCAACAATTTCAAAATTATATTCACTACAGATTATCAGATTTAATAGTGGAGAAGAGATTTATAACTGAATTATACAAGAATCTACGTCACACATAATCAAATGCTTGGAATTTTAAAATTATTTTTCTTATCTAACCCATAATTTAAGGCACCTTCCCATTTCATATGAATCAAAATTAAGCAATGTTTATTAAGACACTAGCTTATGATCCAAGTTATATTCTATATATTTTATTGGTATTTATTTCCAGATTAGCTATATTTTAATTATTTCACATCATTATTTTACTTCATTCTTCATTACTTTCTGTTTATAACTGAAATAAAATGTACTTAATATCTTAACCAATTTTTATTGATTCCAGTGAACTCAGCATCCTTTTATGCTTTAAATAGTCCTGTAAATAACTGTTTCAAAGTCTAATATGCATTTGGTATATGAGCTGATGTTTTGCAACATAAGTAAGTATATACATATAGTTTTCCTGTGGCCTGTTAGCAAACCCATAGTTTAGAAATCTTAAAATTAACATGTAATAACCCAAGAAACTTTTACTTTTGAAGAATTTAAGAATTTCCTAGCAGGTCTATGCTTTTCTGGCTGAAATCATTATCAACAACCAGATTAAAAGAAAATAAACTCACTAAAGTGTCTGTTCTGTAGAAGATTCAAGACATCAGCAAGCTTTGCGTATAGTTGCTGGTGAAAGTATTACCGATGATTAATCCAGAAGGACATCACTAATTCTGACTTTCAAGAATTGAGAAACTCCTTTCCTGAAAGTCACTTTGATTCTTGATGTCTCAACTTTAGCACAGTTTTTATAAAGAGCAGTCAGAACGAGTATGACGATGATATCAGTTTTCCATCTCCCAAAGGCTTGAACTCTGGAATATTCCAAAGGGAAATGATGCCACTTTCATTGGAATTGACTTACGTGATCTGTCCCTCACTGTTATGGGACAAATCTTGGCACTATGCAACCTGTGAAAATAAAGTAGCACAATGGCCTTTCCTTAATTAATGAGTCACTTCCTATGTTGGCATGCAGTCAAGAATCTCCATAATTGGTAAGAAGGCACTGAAGAAATATATTTACCCAGACACCCAGTGAGCTCTTATGGAGAAGAGCCATTTACCTGGCACTTTTCCATTGTTCTTACTCACAAAACAATTACACTTTTAGTAGCTTAGTATATTGAAATCACAAAGTCATATTTCCACTTGTAGTGTTGGAGTTCCCATTCATATTGTAGAGATCTGGGCTGACAAATACGTGATTTCAGTGGTTGATATCAGTAGCAGTCGGGGACTGCGAAAATGAGAAACCGAATCAGAATGACATTTTAAGCAGAGGGCTTAGACTTCTAGAGACTAAGCACCAAGTCAGCGCTCCCCTGCACTTTTATTGTTACAGCAAGCGAAAAGACAGGCATCGATTAATGATTATAGGATGAGTTTTTTCATCAAGCTAAACAATTGCAAGCTAATTATTTATTAAAGTTTCTCTTATGTCTCATCAAGTCATCCGGCCACGTGAGCCTCACGGTGTGATCCTCATCTGGGTTTGCCTCGGAAAGGATCCCAAGAACTGTTTGCAGTCCTCGTCACACCGCTCATGACTCGCACTAGATTCCAACACGCAGCGCCTATAGTTCTTCTCTCTTAGATTAGTTTCGGCTGCAGACTAAGCTTAAGCAGGAACTAAATTACAACAAGGTTAACTGCTGGGGTATCTACAGATATCAATCAATATCAGAAACTCAAACCATCCAGTCCATACAGGCAGTGAGGCATATGAAAGATAATTTAACCAACTAACAATTAATTTACTTATACTTAGTACTGACTACATAATAAATTAGCTCACATTTGGAGAATGTTCAATAATTGATAGGCCGTCATGTACACAAATTCCTTGAGACTGAGTGCAATGCAAATGCACATTACTATGATGTGTTAAATTCCAGAGTCAGTTTTAAAACTCTTGTGAGATTTTTGGAAAAAGCTTAGCAAATACCAACTGTCTAACAATATTCAGAAAATAATATAAGGACATTTATGAAATCCTTGAAATTTGAACTCAAAAAGAAGTTCTTTGAGAAAACAAGTTTCCTTTTCTTCAAGAAAATAAAGTTATTCAAGTTCAAGAAAGAATCCGCTTACTCAAAGAGAAGATCTTTGTAAATCCAGACAGAGGAAATTTAACAACCAAAAAGCAAATGAAGAAAGCAGCCTTCTGCATTTATGGAGCTTTATCAGAGGAGTTAATATATTCTTTATGGGTGTCCAAGAAGGAAAACATACAGAAAAAAGGCAGAAAAGCTTACCTAAAAAATATAATGACTGAAAACTTCCAAACTCTGGGGAGAGAGATAGGCATCTGTGTACATGATGGATAAATGCACCCTACAGGTTCAAACTGAAGACTTCATTGAGGCACTTTGTAATCAACAGTCAAATATTAAAGAATAATAATTTTTAAAACAGCTAGGAAAAAGAGGCTTCTCACATACAAGGGAATTCCCACTAAGTTAAATGGACATATTCATTTTATTGTGTTTCACTTTACTGAAATTCATAGATAATTGCGTTTGTTCCAAAGTGAAGGCAAACCTGTATTGAGCAAATCTTTGGCAATAACGCTCATTTGTAATAATACTCATTTTTGCATTTGTCCACTTATTTCCATTTCCTGGAACTTAATAACTTTGTAAAGCATATAATTACTCTCTAGTGTCTTTTCATTTCACAACAAAAAATTCAGTTTAACATTGCTTTAGGGTCGGTTTTGAAGTAATGAGTCTCTCTGTTGATTTTCTGGGGCTGTTTTAATTTCTCCTTCATGTTTGAAGGATAGTTTTCAGAAATAGCTCTCAGTTGACAGCTTTTTTATTTTCCTTTGGGCACCTTAAATATGTAATTTGGCCACCTACTGTTCTATAGGTTTTCTACTAACGGATTCCTTCATATTCTTTTCTGTATGTGCTTCCTTCAAATGTCACTCTTGCTGCTTGCAAGACTGTTTCTTTTGTCTTTCAACAGTTTGATTATAAAGCATCTCAGTGGGTGCCTCTGTGAAGTTCAGTGACATTCCTGGATTTGCAGATTTAAGTATTTCCTCAATTCTGGGAAGATTTCAGTTATTATTTCTTCAAATAATCTCTGTGGCCCTTTCTTTCTTTTATTTCTGGGATTCCCACACTGCATGCATTATTCTCCTTGGTGTTCTCCAAAAGTTTCCTTAGGCTCTGTTCACTTTTTTCATTCTTGTGTCTTTTTTCCTCAGCCTCAAAAGTTCAAATGTCTTATCTGCAAATGCGTTCAATTATTTTTCCTTCCTGTTAATGAATGTATGCTGTTGGAAACCTTTACTGATTTTGTTTCAACACAGTTAATATTTAATATTAGAAGAAATTCTGTTTAGCTCTTTCGTACAATTACTATCTCTTTGTTAATATTCTTTGTTCATATTATTTTCCTTCCGTTGCTTTTCTGTGTCTTACCTTTAGCTTTTTAACATATGTAAGGCAATTTAAAATATCATTGTCTTATACCTATTGCCTGCGTTCCTTCATGGGTAGGTTCAGCTGTTATTCCTATCTAGGTTCAGTTGTTATTCCTATCATAATACATAATTTTGATTCCTTGTATAACTTGTGGTTTTGGTTGAAAATTGGACATAAAAAAGAGCCACCTCTCCCAAGAATCCAATATATACATTATAAATCTACTGTAATCAAAACGGTATGGTCATGGAATTAAGAGTTATGGACAAATGGAAAAGAATAAAGAGTTGCATATGTTCACAACTAATCTTTGACAAGGACTCAAAGAGAAAACAATAGAGAAAATATCTTCAATAAATTGTACAGAGAAAGCTGGATAGTCAAATGCAAAAGAATGAAATTTGACATAATCTATTCTTACATAAGAAGTAACTAAAAGTGAAAGAAAGACTTAAATGCAAGACCTGAAAATA